AGCTGAACGCAGAGCATCCCAGCTCTGCCAAGGCGAAAGGCCCAGCAGCGCCGTAGCCCGAGGGCTCTGCTGTTCGTTGGGACGGGAATGATATTGTCCCATCCCCTCCATCTCTCCCCACAGATCCCCGCCTGCACGGCTGCTGACTTAAAATGGCAGATGGAGCAAAGTAAGTGTATTTTTTTTTCTTTTTTTTTTTTTTTTTGGGATGGAGAAGGTGCTGTGGGGCAGGAGCAGAGGGAGAAGGGGAGCCCCCCAGATTCCCCAAACCATCACAGTCTGGTACATGAGCTTGCCGTAGAGAGATAGAGCAAGCCGTGGTGGAGTCAACAAAGCACCTTCTCTTTTCTTCTGCCTGTTGGTGCTTTCTCACCTGCTTTTAAGAGACACAGCCAGCTCATGCACCCCCTCCTCGATGGTCACACGCTGAGCTCAGGAGCATGACATCCCCAGGGGCAACCAGACGGGGCGGGTTTGGCTCTGAATTTGCAGGACACCGAATTCCCCAAGGCCAGGACATCGATGCACGCTCTGGGGTAGCTCTCGGAGATGCGCCATGCCTGCAGGGAAACCCTCACCTCCCTGTCCCAGGGAGAGGAATGGCCACCCCCTCCCTCCCTGCCCCGGGAGCGGGCTGGGCCGTATCCAGCCTCATCCAGAGCGTTCCCAACCCATCTGTCTGTTTTTCCTCCACAGGGTGTTCAAGAAGACAAGCCCCAACAGCAAGGTGGGTCCATGCATGCAGAGATGGGACCATGTGCCCCATCCCTGGGTGCGGGTCAGGCCACGGTGCTGGGGCTCCTCCGGGGTGGCTCTGCCCACGGGACGGGACACAGGCTGGGTTTCCCTTCCCTTTGAAATCTGATTGATTCCCGCTGTACCTGCCGTGATGCCACTGTAGGGCTCACTTTTCAAAACAGAAATTTAAAAAGTATCTATATGAACCCTTAAATGTGATGTCTGGTCCAACACGCTAACGCCAGGGTTAACAAGCCCCATGTCACAACTCAGGGCTCGAAAATTTTGGCAAATGCAATGGCAAACGCTAACCTGTTTCCTTCTTTCCTTTCACTGTGTGCTGCCTCCAGCTATCCATCTACCTGGGGAAGAGGGACTTTGTGGATCACGTGGACTCAGTGGATTCTGTAGGTGAGTAGGGCCATGCCCGCCACGGAGGGGGAAGCACGGGCAGTGAGCAGCCAGGGAGACCGGTCCCTGGGCTGGTGACAGCTCGCCTCTGCTTCCCGGCGTAGCAAAAGGAGCAAGGGCAGCTCTGGAGGAGCAAACGTCTTGTTTTCCTGCAAATACCCTTACAGAAGAATGGTGGGGAAAGGGACAAAGTCCCTTTGCAAAACAACCCGGCCTTGCTGCTGGTGGAGATGCTGGAGGAGGCATCGCTGTCCCCCGACCAGCAGCTCCCCTCGGTCATCTTCCCAGCTGATGAGCAAATTGTTTGAATTTTAAAAGCGCTGTGTTTTTGCAAGGGTCTTCCTGGGCAGCTGAGCTGACCAGCCCTTCTTCTCTGTTTGTTTGCAGATGGCGTCTGCCTGATTGACCCGGAGTACCTAAAGGACAGAAAAGGTATTAATACAGAAAACCCTGTGCTGTAAGGGGAAGCGATGAAAACCGATGCAAAGCTCACCAGCAACCTGGCACTGTAGGCAGATTAAAGCTGCAACGGGTCGTTGTACGTCAGGGCCACAGCAGCTGGCCTGGAGGGGAAGGCTGCCTCTTTCTTCTCATCTCTTCTGCCTGGGGCACTGGCTCTGAAGCTACCTGTGCCTTGCAGAAAGCCGTGATGAATCCTGTTAACTTTATATTTAGTATTTGATGTCCAGGTCCTGATAAGAGTCGTATTGCTGCTGAAGAGTTATTAAAGTAGTTTTTCTTTCTTTCCTCTTTATTCAACCCCTTTCCTCCCCCATGCCTTCCCTTTATCTCACCCTTCTCCTAACTCCGCTCCTCTCCATTTCCATCTGGCTTCAGTGTACGTGACACTGACTTGTGCGTTTCGCTACGGCCGAGATGACCTTGATGTTATCGGGTTGACCTTCAGGAAGGATCTCTATGTTCTGACCACCCAGATCTTCCCACCGGTGCCGGACCAGGCACCCAAAACCCTCACTCCTTTGCAGGAGAAGCTGCTGAAGAAGCTCGGGGAGAACGCCTACCCCTTCACCTTCGAGGTAGGGGCTGCTCAGCCCTTCCTGACCACACGTCTCCATGGTGTGCACCAGGGCTCATCTCTGGGCACGCTCTTTATTTACCTTTTTCTCTCTTTCTCTGTTCTGCCCAGATTGCCACCAACCTGCCCTGCTCGGTCACCCTGCAGCCAGGACCAGACGATGTGGGAAAGGTGAGGTGCTGCCCCTGACCCGTGTCCCCTGGACCTGTTCCTCCTTCCAGGGTGTTAAGTTGTGGGGTGCCAAAACGAGAGCTGTTTCTCTTTCGTGGGGACATGGCCCATGGGGTGAGGGTTGGGGAGGAAGGATGGCTGGAGTTGGGGCCAGAATCTCCGAGGATGCAGTGGAGGAAGGAGAGGAATGAACCTAAACCTCAGGCAGCTCTGAGCCCCTCCTGCTTAGTGACCATATGTGTCCCCCCAGGCCTGCGGCGTGGACTTTGAGGTCAAAGGATTTTGTGCTGAAAATCTGGAGGAGAAAATTCACAAGAGGTATTTGCAGGGGATCCTTTTCCTGCCTCATTGCCGTAAAACCAAACCACGGGATCATTTTGGGGTGGCCAGCTTAGGGGTTGGGCCGAGGACCTGCTGTCAGTCTGTGCCACAGTTGGATGGGGTGCTTTTCCCAAAGGAGGGGCAGTGGTCCCCATGTCAGCACCCACCATGTCCTAAGAGCAGGCTGCGGCTTGCATCCTTTGGTGAGAGACACTGCAATGTCCCCAAAGACAGCCGATGTGTGTCCCCCAAAGGCCGCGTCAACACCTCCCTGTGGGGGGGACTGGGGGTGACCGCTTCTCGCCCCACAGGAACTCGGTGCGCCTCATCATCCGCAAGATCCAGTTTGCACCCCTGAAGACAGGGCCACCCCCGAAGTCGGAGACCACCCGGCAGTTCATGATGTCCGACAAGCCCCTGCACCTCGAAGCTTCCCTGGATAAGGAGGTCAGTACAGAGGCTGTCCCCTGGCTCGTGCCACCACATGCATCCCCAGGGACGGGGACCAGGATGCCTGGTCATGTAACCGAGCCTCTTCCCGCTGCAGATCTACTACCATGGAGACCCCATCAATGTAACCGTCAACATTAACAACACCACCAACAAGATCGTGAAAAAAATTAAGATCTCAGGTGAGAGGAGGCAGGAGAGGCACATCCTGGCACCCACCACATCCCAGCCTCCCCGTCAGAGATGGGGATCGCACATCCGTGCCTCTGCCGCGTTACCAACGCTGCTCCCTCTTGTCTCTCCTCAGTTGATCAGATCACAGACGTGGTCCTCTATTCGCTGGATAAATACACAAAGACTGTGTGCACTGAGGAGATAAAGTAAGTAAAAAGAGGCTG